CAGGGCAGCTATCAGGCACTCAATGCCTTTTCATCCTAGAGGAAAGAAAAGTATTTTGGCAGATAAATACTTTTTAAGCAATTATGTTGGAATTCAAAGCACATTCTTCCACATCGGCAATATTTTGAAGCGGTGAAAGGTTTGAGAAGATCTATTTACAAACAAAAAGATTAAAGCTCCTTCTGTCCAGGATGGGGTGGGGGTAGGAATCAATGAAAGGATCAAATGGGACACAGCCTATTGAACATAAGCTTGCTTCAAAACAGGCACGCCCTCACTGCAATTTATTAAGGAGAAACAAAGCTATTTTTTCCAGATTTCAGAGATGAATCCTAAATCCAGATCTCACACTCTGGAATCTAAAGATCCATCATCTTGACAAACCTCAACACACCTTCCCAAAGGTCTGCTAGATTCTGCTGGACAGCTTAAGATTTGCCATAGGAAAAAGGAAAAAAAAAAAACCAACCCCACAACCAAACCAAGACACATGCTATGAAGTGAAGGAGATTTTTCTACTTGGGCTTCTGACAAGGATACTTCCTATGTCTGCTGCAATCCCTAACATACTGAACTACTTCTTAGCTCTTAAGAGATCTGGGTCTGCTTTAAGTTCAGTTAAAGTTCATCTGGCAGCTTCATCAGCCTGTTCCTCTCACAAGTGTTCTTGGTCTTTATACCCACAGCAGGAAAAAAAACCTAACTTGCGACGATAAGGCTTTTTTTTTTTTTTTTTTAATTTAAAAAATAACTAAAACAAAAGGGATGTGGAAAGGGTACTATGAAATTTCCATTAAATCTATATTCTGCAGAGACTTAATTTTTTCCCTAAGACTCAAGGTAAAAATTTGAGTATCTTATTAGCTATTTGTTGGAAGACTGTGGTCTCAAATCAGTTAACAAAGAAATGTAATGGACCTTCTTGCGTGCAGCATTTCCGCATGAGTAGGTACAGTTCCTGCATCTTCAATCCCTATTCAAATTAATTCTGAACTGGGGAGAGGGGCGCAGCATTTGTCATCTTCTCTGTCTTCCCAGCAGGAAGATCCGAGCTCTGTAACCTAAAAGGCTAAGTACTTCCTTACACAATCACCCACTTCCTAGACTTTCAGCATGTATAGTTTTAAGAACACTGAGGTGAAGTCCAGTTTTCAGATACTGTCCAAGAAGTACAGCACTTGAATTTTTCTCTACTTGACTGGGAAGTTCTATCTCTTGCAGAGAGGAGGGAGGACTGCTGGAGCAATAAGAAAACAGAGCACATGTACAAGTATGTGGGACTTATCTGACACAAATCAGCCCTGACACTGGGCAGAAGAGCTACAAATTGTTAAACACTTGTTAAGCATCATTGCCCATCAACCCCCTGCACTCATCTAGCTGTTGGCTTTCACTGTGCAACTCCTTAGAGCAGGCTCCCTTCCCTAAGAACTACAGAATATAAATTACTCAAGACAAATTACTACTATGTATTGTAAGCAATTATAAGAAGAGAAACTGGGCTGTGGAATGCAACTAAAACTAACTTGGGAAGTAAGAAGGGAGGAAGAGTGGGGACAAACAGCAATCTTCAGCAACACCATACGGGAAAGACCTAAAAATGTTCTTTTAATATATGTATTAAAAAGAAAGAAGATTATTATTACAGGGATGGCTGGCTTGCAGGTGGGGTTGGACAATCTTTATATGCCATATGTATGAATGAACTAGTTATTTTTAAACCTATCTGAAGCCTTAAAGAGCTATTCCAGGACAGACAGACTAACTCACCTTCAGGTTTTCTGGTCTTAGCGGCATATCATATATTCAGAACAACAGCTTTTTCCACAGCTGGCTGGGACAAGTACATTACAAGCATACAGGAACTCATCTAACTTTTTATAGAAAGGAAAAAAAAGAAAGAGAGAGAGATGCTGAAAACTTGCAGTAGAGTTGTTTCAGTAAATATACTGAAGTGAGGAGCCAAATTAACCATGAATATAACACTTGAGCCTAAGATAAACTATTTTAAAAAGTATTTCTCCTAGCAGAGGAGATGCAAAGGAGTCTGGATTTAATTGAGTTAATCTTAGCAACAGTTTTTAATCACACCACTTTGCACAGCACCTCCTTTTTGGCTGCTTCGATCACTAATATATTGTTAGAACAGGCAGTTTGTCCCCTCCCTTAGAACCACTACACTAGTCACAGTAGTGGCCAGAGAATATATACTTTATTTCATATCTGGTTTTATCCATTATGAATTGTACTACACTGAACTCTCCTACAAAAATTACCACACCACTCAAAGACTTACCAGTCTTAACAATTACCAACAGATAAAAGAGTGAAAACATACCACAGATCAGGTTAAAATAAGTCCGCATGAAGAATTTTCAATCTCTCTTCTTCATAAATGTAATAATGTTGGAAATTCAAATTTATTTAGCCTACAATGACTTGCTCCGGGAATTTTTCACAGGGACATGAACTGAAACATTAGTGTTGTTCACTGTGCAATACAACATTACCTCTTTATCCTTGTATTTTGTTTCTGTGGAAGCAACACGAAGGTATTTAAAATACCTTAAGGATATAAACAGGCACCAATAGGGATCATCAAATCCAAGCAGCCATTTAAAGGAGGAAACGGGAAACATATCCAAATGAACAACTTGAAATACTTTGTTTAATACCTAATTATCTGCTAGAACAAAATACACATGCTACTCTAGCCCTGTGACCCAGTTTCCTATATGAAATATGAGGAGGAGAATCATGAAGCAGAAATATAGTTAATGAACACAGTAATATTTACTAATTTCATGGCGTTTTTTTGTTTCAACAGTGCTACCCAAGTCCAATTTAGTAATTTGCCTCACTTTTGAAAGTACGACTAATAATCCACAGTTGAATGTAACTGTTAACTTCTGAGGTATACCCTGTAGAAGGAGCTGGTGCTCTAGGCACTAGCTTAATTTTCACTTAGAACAAAGCTCATCAGATCACTCAGCAAGGAATTAGCAACAATTGCTTGTCGGTAATTTTTTTTTTTTGGTACTAACGTAAATGGAATACCTACGTCATGCTCATCACAGATGTCTCCCAATGAGATCAATACTACATATAGCATCAAATGAACCATCTATCCTGGGTCAATACATCAAATTTTAGCTACAACTCAAACTCATTGTTGAACGGCCACGTAGAGTAACAGTCACAAAACACTTTTTATTGAAATACTGTTAAAAACTTTCTGGTCAATGCCCCCCTTCATTTTCAATGGTGATAAAAAGAAATTTTACAACACCCTCTGGGTAGGAAAAGGAGTCTGAAGCAGTTAATCAAATTACTGGGTTCCACCCCTTCCTTTCTTTTTTGCTGATGACATTCACGGATGCTTTTTCAGATCCCAGCATCAGGAGAACAGCACACATGCATATGATAACCCATCAAGGAGGGGTCAGCAACCACAAGACTGCAGGGGAAACCTCAGGCCACACATGTAACCAACAACGGGTACATTCTGCTCATTCTCCTGCAGATGCTGGGAGGCACCACTGAATGGTGGTATTCTCACACCGCAATTCCTGATGCTTTGAATAAGTTGAAGGTGGGAAGTCGACTTCCCCAGGACAGCCTTTGGAGCCTACTGCTGTCAAGGACCCTAGCAGGAACAATGTCAGGCTGGACAAAACCAGCATTGTAGTTCCCATCGCTTTTCCTTTTCTCTTGCTTCTCTATGAAGGGGTTCATAACTGTGAGGCAGGACATTCTTGCCCTCCATGCCTTTTCCCAGTCCTCCCTGCCTGACCCTGTGACACGACTTGAGAGTCACTCCTGGGTGCTGTCAGTTCCTCCTCTTAATGGTCACTGAGCAAGCCCTCTTCTTGCCACCCACAGCATTTAGTTCTGGTCCTCCCACAATGAAGGGCTCTAGCATCACTGATCCTTCCCTGGAAGAAGGATTCAGCAACGGGTGAAGAAGTGAACATGGATTAAGCATAATACCGTCACATACCTGCAAGGCTTCATGTTGAGCCAAACATAGCAACAAAAGGAAAAACAGTATCCTGGACTTCACTGCTCTTTCCCAGCTTCATAAAGGTGTTTGAGGGTAAGTTACTGTATGACAGTAGTTTCACTTGCTTTCACAAAGTGATAGAAAAGCAGCAACAGGAACCCAGTAAAAACCTCATCCAAGTAAAGGGAGTGAAAAGAAATAAAAGTAGCACGAGAAACCAAATGTTCCCTACTCTCTGCAACCACAGATGGTAAAGACTGGGGTCCAATGCCCTGTATCAAGCTCCACATGCACACACAGTGAAACGCAGATTGTGAAGAGAATTACTGAAAATGCCTGAATATCCAGTGAAATAAGTTCGGTAGAAATCGGTAGCAATAACTGCCATTACGGAGGAAGGATACTCTAGTCAGATTTTGTCTTTACTGCATGAAAAGAAAAGAAAACACTAATCCATTACGGAAATGTGTACTTAGTTCTTGGCAGATATTACCCTGACTGGCCAGCAACCACAATACAGAAATGAAAATTAAAGAATAATTTTAAAAAGTCACAGCCAAAATTTGTTTCCTGGAATCAGATAAATTATTTCAAGTGTCATCAAAATAAAAAAGGAATATTTCTTCATTTCACTATGTTCACAGATCAAATAAAAAGACAGTAAAACAGCAGAACATATTTTGCATGGAGGTATTACAGGAACTTTTCCTTTTTGCAATTCAAATACTCTGGTTAATTTTAAAGAAGTTTCCACATATCTTTCCTTTAACAATCTACAGGGAACAGTTGAGGGAAAATACAATTGGACTAGACTTGGGGCGAGATTTTTTTCAAGCAGGATACAAGAAGGCCCCCCAATTCTTAATTGCAATTCAAGAAACAATTAAGTTTATTTGTGAAAAAAATGCATCAGTAAGGTGCCATCATATCACTACAAGACTTCCCACATAAAAAAATATAGTGCAGGCTATATATTTAACAAAATCCACAGCCTTACCAGTCAATAACAATTCTTCTTTGATTTGTATTCCATGAAGCAATTTGATCAAACGGACAGATGTAGAGATGAGACCCAAGTTCCTATCATTAAATTGGAAAAAAAAAAAAAACAAAAACACTTGATATGAAATACACTCAAATAAAGCAAAAAGGCTTTTCACTGAAGTCAACAGCAAGTCTTTAACATCTTCAGAAACTCTGAAATAAAAAGTAGTTTCTCCTACTTAACTGTGCCTGACTATCAGCAGCCACACTACTGCTATCAGAAGCCAAAGGAACAGGTTTACTGCATCAGCCTCCATATTAACAATTTTGGACACAGTACCTTCAGAGCTAAGTACCCTTTCCTCTCTTTTTGCTATTCTTCTACATCAGATGTTAAAAATTAGCAGGTTATTCCTGTAATTTAAACAGCTTTATTTGTGTAAAAACTTTACTTTGTTTGAAGTCCAAGTATTCAAGGAAAGTGTTAATGTACATTACTTAGCAATAAACCTCGAGGATTTTAAATACCAACAAATTGATTAGTGATGGCCATCAAATGAACAGGGCCAGTTCAAAGGGAAACATACAAAACTCTCAGAGGGAAGCAGGGAAGGTCAAGTAATCATTTATCCTTTCTCCAGTGAGAAGGAATCATAGGTAGAATCTCAGAAAGGTTTGGGTTGGAAAGGACCTTTAAAGATCATCTAGTCCAACCCAACTGCCATGGGCAGGGACAACTTCCACTAGACCAGGTAGCTGAAAGCCCCATCCAACCTGACCTTGAACATTTCCAGACATGGAAAAACATGGTGATAGTGAAGATAAACCAGTGAGGTGAAGCCATTTGGAATGAAAAATGCCAAAATAATACTACAGCCAAAGATCAGCAATCCTGGAGGTAGACAACATACATGCCAGGATGCGCATGCAACAGGAGTAAAAACCAAAAGTCAAAAAAAACAGTATAAGCAGTTTTCAGCTTTTAACTCATTTCTACTTTAGTAGTCAAGCTTTTTGAGAAGAGATCAGCCAAGACAGAGTGGCTGAAACTTCAGAACATGGCAATACCATCTCTACCAAACCTCCACACCCATGCATGAGTTACTTAAAAAATACCGTATCACTGCATGCGAATGCGGAATAATTGTCTTCTGCAGATGTCTTCTAGACAAACATATACTCCTTCTCATTAAGTTTTAACACGGAAGAGAAGCCAAAGATACATTTATGACTATATAATACACACATGCACACTGGTATACATACAATCTATTAAAATCAAAACATTTCCTATTCCTTCAGACCCCAAATTTCTTCACAGCACACAAATCAGAAAAACTGCTGTTCCTGGAAGGAACAAAGCTTCATATTCCCCAATAGTTTAAAAGCTGTTACACAATCCATGCGTTTACAATCTTTGCATTCTTTCCTAGAAATAACCAGTTTCGATTTTGATCAAAAAATTTGTATTTTGGGGTTTTTTTTTTAATATCTGAATGTTGCACACTTCAAAGCCACATCAAAGGCTCAAAAAAACATAATTTTCCTTCCATTCACAACTTTTGATCATTCAGGGCATTTAATTCCTAAACAAGTTGTGCATTTGCAACCGTTTAAAATCAACACAAACATATGGCTAATACACAGCTGGCTCAAAGCACCCAGTGCGGTATTAGAAGGAGCATAAATTCTTATGCTGCTAGAAAGCCAAAACAGTATCTGATGAGTGACCCACTGAGTCCTTCAGTTAGAAACGTGGCCAGAACTTTCTATCCACACAGGCCTTCCCCCTCCTGCAGTCTAAAGAAAAGTACAATTATTAGCATCCAGCTTCCTAAATGAGTAAGGCTATGCTAACTGCTTAGTGAGGGCAAATACACAGCACAAGTATAACCAGTGCAGAGCACATTTTTGTTCAGAAGCAGGTTGGGCATCTGAATTCCATTAAAAAGTAAAAATTATTTTTTACTTTCTGATGGAATTCAGATACCCATAACTAGGTTGTGTTTGTCATGCTACTGAAAAGGGCAATCCTACCAACTCTCAGCCATGCAGCTCTGTTTCCCCTGTTTTGTTAACATGAGTAACTATGGAGCTACAATAAGTTACAATAAGGAACCCAGTCTGGCTGAACATCCACCCAGCAAAAATTTATAAACAAGCATACAAATTTTCTGTCAGATCAGTTCCTTGACCCACAACGTGATCACGAGTGCTAGCACTGCCAGGAACAAAAAGGTAAGAGCCTGAACTTAGACCTACCTTATTCTAAAACTAATGCCTTCTACAAAAAGTCCTGCAACTTTTGTGGCATTAAGAAAATTCTGCCCCAACACAGAAGTTGCGATTTTATCCCATGTCAAAATTATATTTAGTTCAATAAATCAAATTTGACAAATCCCAAGAAACCAAATTTTAAGATTGTACTCTGTAACAATTCTTCATGATCTAACAAACTTGTAACAGGTTTTTGGGTTTTCTTTTTTTTTTTGGTTGATTGGTTTTGCGTTCTTGGGGTGGGGGTTTGTTGTTTTGGTTTGGGGTTTTTTTGTTGTGGGTTTTTTTTTTTTGTTGATTTGTTTGTTTTTTTAAAAACAGCAGGTAGACTGCAAAGTTTTCAGAAACTACAGCCAGTTGTATCCCAAGCATCCCCTCAATATTGCAACAGATGCAGGCAAAAAAAGAGAGGCTAAATAACTTAAGGAGCCAGACTGACTTCTTATTATCCATTAATATCAATTTACCTGTATATGTATCAGGGTTGATAAACACAATTCTACACTCTATATTTTGCCGTGAGTGCGAGACAGATCTAAATTTACCTTAAAAAACCATACTAATCCTGTAACTGATAATTAAGACTATTTACTTACTCATTGTGTTATCCAAAAAATTAAAGAAACGAAAGGGAAAAAAGGATAGTTCTGCAGTCAGACTTCCAAAAGGCTTACATCATTTGCATAATCAACTCATACTAAAGACACAAATACTTTGCTCTACTATTCAGCAGTGCCCCAAACTCTAACCTACAAATAGGTCAGCTATTTTTGTTCCTTGCGTACTTCATTTCAAGTGATTGCATCAAGCAGGAAATACCAGTTAATAAATCAACTAACACAGCAGTGTAAAATAAGAATCTCTATATAAAACCACACAAACATCAAAAGGTTATATTTTTGTATGGGTTAAAATGGATCATAACTATACCTCATGACATGTTGGTTCTTGGCACACTCAACACAGGCATTCCTCAGACATCTGAAACACTCTGCTATGAGCAGCAGGCAGGTGTCTAGATCTACCAATTCACAGGAGTCCTTGTAGGCCTGCTCAATTTCACTTGAGGCGCTCATCAGGATTTCCAGGAGATCCCGAAATACACTTTCTTCTGCCATTTCTCTGAAATAAATAAATTTGTTGTAAACAAAAAAAATGCACTGCTATCAAAAAGCCTCATATTATGACAATTACACTTCTTGTGGTAAACCCAAAGATGTTCCTGCAACGATCTTTAACTATCCATAGTATACAAGGTCTTTCAAGTAGAACGAGCAAAATACATGCACACAATCATCCCACCAGCCTTTTCAGAAAAGGGGCTGTGAGAGAGTTGTGTTGCCTTAGTATTCCTCACAGCTTTCCAACAGCTCTTTGGAATCTTAATTTAAAAAAAAAAAGTATCCCTAATGCATATAGCTAGCATGGTTATACATGCCACTGCATGTTGTTTTAAGAATTAGGAATTGATGTAATTAATGAACACAGTTCAGATGTCCAGCGCTAGATGTTTCAGAAGAAGAAGGTATCAGAAGCTCCATTGTAAAATAGCCTGCCACAAATTTCACCAGAGGGGGAAAGAGAAGTTGTGAAGAAAACAGGTGGCTGCACTAGCATCATTCTGAAGTGTGTGAATCAAACCAAGGGAGAAAGTCAACTCAGTCTACTTCAGCAGACAACTACCCCAACACAAAAAATACCATGCCACTTCTTAGAGTATCTAGACCTAGGAAAACAACACCATAAAACCATAAGCACGTAGGCAGATACTATATGAATGGATGAGAGAGCTGACGCTGCTGCACCACGTAGATTCACCAGGCTCCCCAGGACTGACACGCACATCTGCAGATGATCTGTCACACAGATACGCACATTTCCAAACTACAGCTATTCACATACTTTCTCTCCTGATTTTATGTTTTGAAAGGGGATGAGGGCAACACATTACAAACATTGCTAGCTCAGTTTTGATACTACATGCTGGTGAAAAGAAGCCACACCAAAGAGTGTTTATGGCATTGCTACAGGAAAGTGCAATAAATTCGCTCATCCAATACTTCTGACTAGTCAAAAAAAGGAAATCCAGATGCAGCCTCCTTGAACCTTAAACAGACTTGTCATGTACTCAAGATCAAACAGGAAAGTTAGGATCTGAGACATAAGATTGAGAAATACCTCCTAAGCTATTAACAGAAGAAAGTGAGATGAAAGGGTAAGTAATATTAAACAAAACATATTCGCACAGAAAATTCTTCCTAAAGGAGAATTTAAAAATTTCTTGATCAAACATTATTGGATGATACAGAACCTGTGTTCTGCTGCTCGCTCAAATGTCTAAACATTTGCACAATTAGAAATTCTACCTACTCTTTATCGTAAGTGATCACACATCCATAAACCAAACCATAGAATCATAGAATCATTTAGGTTGGAAAAGACCCTTAGGATCATCAAGTAAACCATTAACCTAACACTGCCAACTCCACCACTAGACCATGTCCCTAAGCGCCACGTCTACACGTCCTATCTGTAACACCCTTAGACATGTCTGTAGACTATCGTATTTCCCACCTCTGCTCCTGCCATGTTCTCCTTCCTAAACTAAACAAAGCTGATTCTCTCAGCCTTTACTCACAGTTCACATTTTCTAAGCCTCTTATCGCTCCTGTTGCTGCGATAGTGACACTTCCATGTTCATCTACATCTTACTGACAGTGCAGTGCATCCAATATTGAGGTCTGTTAGCTGTGGAGTAGACTTACAAAGAAGGAAGAGCACTTGTACTGTAAGAAATACAACAATGTACACAAATATAATTAAATTACTACATCAGATTTCAGATCTCCAGGAAATATGTGTTTTATTTACAACCTCACAGTTGATCAAGACCAATACACTTACACAATCTCCAGCTACATTAAAATATTAAAAAAACCCACCACAGCATCAGTGAGAATTATCTACGGTGGGGCGCAGGTGAAGCTACATTTTACAGTGGTGTAGTACTGAGGGGAAAATACTAAAGCGACACAACAAAGACCTAAAGCAGAGCTGGCCCTCAGTCATAAAGAAAACAGTGGAGATTATATAACCAGAAAGAAGGTTTGGAATTTGGTTTTGTTTTAATTTAAGACATAAGACAAGAGATTCACGGGACTTCAACCTTCGACTTACAGGAACTAGTGCAGCTCCTGCCGCTGATGTACCACAGAAGACATTTACATGGTAAATGCATCCAGACACCAGTTTTTCTAAACATTAGAAGAGCTACAGTCTGGTAAAGGAATGCCCAGCCAGATCCTATCCCAAACACACAAAAGCCGTGTTTTCTCTATTGAGTGAAGATGCTGTATAGAACCATTAGCTGTTAGTCAGCTGAGTTTTTTAAACACTGAAATTATTCTAAAATAGGAAATCTCTCAATCCAATTGCAGTTTCCTTTATATTTAAAATGCAACACATGGCCTATGCCTATCTGTTGGATTATCACATGAAACTGGTCATTTCCTGACCCCACTTCAAAATACAGAAATCAGTGGTCAGTACAAGACATGTATCACTGTACAACATTCAATTGTTTGAAATTGGTAAAACAGAAATGAAAAAAGCTGCAAGTACTTCTGTGCACGTTCTTGTGTCTCTTCTGTTAAAAGGATACCTTAAAGTCATGCTGATCCTGGAAGTTTCTACTCTTGTTACAGAGTTATGCAGCAGAACTGAAGTTTTAGTCAAATAATGGATCACAAACATACTGGGCAACTGTGACAACTTTTCTCTTAATATTAGATTGAAAGTAAAAAAAAACCTAAGAGTGTAGACGTTGCCAGTAAAATATGAAGATGAAACCCTTGCCTGTCCTAACCGAGCAAATGTGATGTGCGCAAGGAAGTGCCTGTCCTCATTGAGAATGTGGAAGTACACGTGGATTTTTATTTATCAGCAAGGAGACAGGCCTCCAAATCTTTCTCTTGCACACTATGACAGAAAATTAAAGTGCTCAAGCCAGATGTTTCTGCCCACAACAACTCTCTTCCTACAACAGAAAACAAAAACCTAACCAACCAAACAAAAGTTATTCCAAACAAACAAGGAATGACTTAAAGGCTGTTTGGTAAAGCAGGATTCTCTTCAAAGAAAATTTAAATGTGACTCTTGTACTTAAGCATTTATACATCACTGCAATTTGAGTGTGTGCTACAAAGGAATTTTAATTAAAATCATCCTTCTGCACAAAAAACGAAATTCTCAAATCAATGAGGAAAGCAAATAGTATTTAGCTAACATTAAAAAAATCAGTCAAGAGTGATTTCAGGTAACTGTTCCACAGCAATGCGTAAAACCATTTTTTAAAAAATAATCTTCTTTCCAGTGGAGTAGAATGTATTTTTGAAAAGAAAAGAAAGGCACATATTTTCCTTCCATAACCTTTTCCCTAATCTTTAAATATTAATTTATAAAATTAGCAAGGAGCCTGTTTAGGAGCTTTAAGGTGAAAAAATACCTTCTATTGTAAATAGGCCTTGACATTCATTCAGAACTGCTCCATGGATATTCCAAAAACTTCTGTTTTCTGTTGGAAAATGTTTTGTTGCATAAGACAGGATCTTCACAATTTGCTGCTGCCACCTGTCCTTGATTTCAGCATCAAGTATTCTGCAGGAATACATGAGGAAGCAGAAGCAAAGGGTACAAAGAGCCCAGCCCTCAGACAAGGAAGACACGCACAATTTCTTGTGAAGTCAAAACAAAGAGTTAGAATTCATGTCTCCATGCCAAAAGGAAGATTACTGTCACTCCTTGTAAGATCTAAGTGCTTGATTGTTAAAAACAGAAACTGTACAAGATAACATCCTAGTGAACACACAGTTAAAAACATTAATGCAACCCTGTTCAAAAGGCTAGGGCTCCAAAAATCATGAAACTAGACAGGAATTCTGAGAACAACCCAGAAGTTTGCAATTCTGTATTTCCACTCTACGTTTTAGGTACTTATTCCGTTCCACTCCTATAAGGGGAGTACCTAAAAAGCCTTTAAAGTATTTAGCCTCACAATATTCCTGGCAATAAAGCCATTTTCCTCCTTTTGCAGATTAATAATGGAAGCATAAAGAAATCGGGTCATCTGCTCAAAAGCACTGGAAGTCTCAAGTAAAGCACACAGCTGAATTCAAGTCTCCCAAATTCCACACCACAGTCTCGTAGTTGCTGCATTATTTTCCTCACCTTCCTTGCTTCTGAATTACAGACCACTAGAACTCACATTTTTAAATGACTTTGCTTCCACAAGCACTGAACAATCACATAATAACAAGAGAATTGTCACCGAGTATCACAACTTTAAATACCAAACATCCATTGGGTTGTGTCTTCTGGTTCAACAGCATCAGCAACAGTATTTTCCACAGTTGGCAAATTTATTGCCAAAGCTGCTCTCAGATCCATGGTGTCACGTCCTATAGGATATAAGCTAACACTACAGCCTTGTCCTTATGGAAGGGTTTTCTTCCAGCCCACCTGCATCCACAAAACTTGGCTATTTTGGGGAATATCTACTCCTCTGTCAGACACAGTAGCAGAGGTTTCAGGGAGGAAGGCAAGAAACAGGCAGAGAAAGCATCAGCATGTAAGCCCAAAATTTGCACAGGTCCTCCTCTCTTCCTAGAGAAACTGAGACGAACACCAGAAGAAGATCTCCTGTACGCACAAAGATCACAAGAAAATATTTGTAAGTACATCTTCCCCCTGTCCCTGACTTTTAAATGTGGGTTTAATTAACAAAAATAGTATTGGGAATTAAAAAAACAACCACAAAACAAAACACCACCACAATTTTATGCTGAGCTAAAAAGTTTGATTTCTTCTTTCTTAGGTGTTATAAGCTCCAAATAGCTACTGTTAGGATGAGTGAGCACGAGCTTCACACCAACCTATGCTGCCTCCCACCTTCCAGGAAGGGCAGGAACCATCACTGTAAGCCCAGTCACACAGCTGAACCTCTGCATGCCCAACCTTTGCCAAAGCCAACAGCGTTGTGGGGTACTGCAGAGGTCCCCCCAACCTTACAGGAACCGCAACACTCTGTACCGATCCCTTGCTTTCTCCAGTAACCCCATGC